CTTCCATTTTCCCTCCTGCTATTTGCTACTTTAAGTAGCTTGAATTTTTTTTGTTGCATTATATGTGCGTAGTGCTTTGCACGGAGGGTGTGGGGCCTTAGTTGGATCCTGGGTGCTACCTTAATCCACACAATAATATAAATAAATACTCTTCTGGGCTTTCGATGTTGTGTGTTGCTGTAACACCAAATCAGCATCTGCATGAATGCATGTATTATTTCAATATCCTTTGTGAAGCAAACAGCATTTTGGAAAAAAAAAAAACAAAAAACACCAAAGCCAACCAACCAAAAAACCCCACCAAAAGAACAAAAAAGCTGCAGCCAAAGCAAGATCAAAGCCATATTTCCAAGTCCCTGCTGACTTGGGATACCTCTTTGATTGTATATAACTGAAGAAGACTCTAGGGTCTGACATTTGAAAGCACCCAGTGTGCTTAGTATTTCTGTAGATGTTCCAGAAAGCTTAAAATCATGTCAACACCCCAATTTTATAGATGGTGCAAAAGAAACAGAAAGACAGAGCTGTGTCAGTGTGAGATGAATAATAAAATTGACTGTATTCTTTAATATAGCCAGGAGCACAAAATAAGCAAATTAAAAATTGATTTTCTTTGAGTTAGTTATTATAAGAATTAGTTGTTTTCAGAAAGCTCTTCCCCTTCATTTATCAGTCCAGTTCTTAATCTCTTAAATTAAATCTATAATTACTATGGGTTCACAATCTGTAGAAGAATGATAGGGATACTCATGTTTTGGTCTTGTCATTTTCTTATTGTAAAAGAGTAAACTGATGAAAACAAATATTCAGTACAACTGTAGCAGATACAAAACACTTATCTATTTTCAAGATAATGAACAAATAAAACAAACATGAACAAAAAAAAGTGTTAAGGAGGAAAAATGCTTCACTTAGTTGATTTATTTTTGTTAATCACGTTTTTATGTCAGGATAAATTTTCTTAAGTGTCGAAGTTTTACCCACACTGATTTGTTACTACTTATTGGTTTCAAATATTAATTTAATAATACTTTGCTTTTATATCAGGCCTGCAATTTATGATGTGCTTCACAGAATCTGATCTGATGCATTCCCTGAAGCAAGTAACCAAGTCCATCCAAATTGATTCTCCCATTGATTTCTGAGCTTGTAAATTTGTGTGGATTGCAGCACTTTATTTGCTCCTTTGCTTCTGGCTCTATTATAGTGAATCTTCCTTTCTTCTTTCTCTACCTCTTTAATTCCTTCCCTGTTCTCCTTTACAGATGCACTGTCTCCCTTTATCCTGTTCTTTCTTTTCTTTGCTCTTTTTTTTTTTTTTTTTTCCCCCTTCTGCTGCCTTCTGCCAGTCCAGGAATGTTTTCATCTCATACTCCTTTCTAATTTCTGCTTGATTTCCCCTGCTGCTTTTCTCTGTTTGTATTTGGTACAAAGCTGCAGGAGGGCATAAAAGATGCACACACAGAATTAAAGTGCTAGTACGCTTTGTTAGCACCTAGAAACTTACCTTCAGCCGAATTTATTACAGAAGAAATTGTAAATGTGATAAGTAGTTAAAGCTGGAGGCAGAAACATGCATTTCAGAAGCGCTGAATGTTAGACTGGTCCTTTTTCCTAGGTAGCTACAGAGTGCCACCTATTGTCTCCAAATAAAACAGTGAGCTTTTAAAATAAGTTACCCTGAAATTACCTTTGCCTCAGTTACTGTTTTCTGCAGAGAACTACACATCTTTACTGAGTGCATTGACTGCAAGAAAACATCATTCACATTTGAGTTACTTTTCCTTCAGTTCCTACTCTCCCATCACCATGTTATCTTTAAGTCTTTGATTCCATTACCTCCTTTACAGCATTTATCTGCATTCTGGCTGGAGTTCTTTCATGTATATTAGAATTACATTCATAAAGAATTTTAATGGGGGAAAAGGAGTTTTTCCTAATGATGCTTCCCAGATATTCAAGAAAAATTGGAAGACCTGTTCTTAGATCTCCTTAACCATCATATTAGAAGAGTTGACTATAAACTTTTATACCAGGTGAATAAATATGTAACACCCTCAGCCTTTTCTTTGAGTGTGGCTAAAGCATTGACAGATAACTTATTTCTGCATTGCTCTTAAGAGATTACCTGGTCAGTGGCTGGTATTGCAGTTTGTTTGCCTAAGAAACTTTTTTCCTACTTTCATTTCATAACATACTACAAAGCTTTATTGTCGTCATAAGGTTTTTTTTTTCATTTTCATACTAAGTACACTATGCAAGTGTGAACAAAGATATATTTCAAAAAACTTACTTATTGTATTATGGTGAATTGGCATTACCACCTACTTCCTGTAGGTTTTGCAGTACAGTCGTGGCTAAAGGTTATTTCAATGATGATGACAACAACACTTGTGTATTCTTGAATCCACTTTTCAGATTCTGCAGGATACTTAGATATGAAAGAAATATGAAGACATGTTAGGGTTGGTCAGTCTCTGTACAGCCACATTTGAGTCATGACCAAAATGACCTGATCAGGCTAAAGAGCAGGAGCCAAACCCCATTGTGCTCTAATCACGGCTTCTGACATTTCCCCGTTATTGTTTGGGCTTCCTCTGAACATAATCATCCAAGAGCAGAATGTGAATTTTGCTGTCAAAAGGCCAAAATTACAAAACAGCACTGACAGCGTTTTAGGCATAAATCTGCTGACTTGATCAGAGACAGGGATTAATAACTAGGCCAACTTTTTGTTGAGCTGCACAGCTTACTATTCAGTAGATACCCAGTTGTATTGACCTAGTTTTGCCCATAGCACTGGCTTTCAACTATTTGATCCAAGCTGCCCGTCATGTGGAAGTACTCAGTTTCATTTTGAACAAGAGCTCTCCGGATTTCTCACCAGCAGAGGATGCAAATATATTTGTTTGACTTTACTGCCTCCTTTTCCTCAATATTCAGGTAAATAATAATGGCAGTAGCTCATCTTGCAAAGTATTTTTGATGTGTAGGACTCGAAGACGACAAGTGTCACTGTATCATTTTGTGGATGAGGAAATTGAAGCTGGAAGAACAAATTACTTGCCAGGATCTCTCAGCAGCGCATGGGCTAAGCAGGGAAAAGAATCCATGCTTCCAGCTTGCTGTCCTAGTTCTGCTCCAACCCCCAGGCCACCCTTCCTAATTAAAAACCTGTTTAGACTTCTTAGATCTGGATTACATTATGTCTAATCTGCACATATTTAAGAAAGTGCTAAAAGTGTTGCTACAAGGCAAATCAACAGCAACGATCCAAAAGAAAAAAACCCAAACTTTATTTTCTGGTTGGTTAAAAATACTTGAAGAGTATACAAACTCATGGCAATATGTCTTTTTCTCACAGCTGTATTTTTAAAAGGTTGTTTTCTGACTATACAATGTTAAGAAAAAGTTGCAAGATGGAGCACCATATGGAGTAGGACTAATACTTTCACTAAAGGTTACAATCACCTTTAAAAAATATTATAAAAAATTGCTTTAGTTTTTTTATTTCAAAAATATTAAGCTTCAGTTTCAGAAAGTTGAGATGTTATTTAAAGATCGTGATCAAGCTGGGGACACTGAACATTAGCACTGGGGAAAGATGAACAAACACCTACTGATTTTGGAATTACCACATAAAGATTGAGTCTCCATGTATACAGCCATAAGACTTAACTCGCATCAAATAAGACATCCCTCAATTAATCACTTCTCTCTCTCCCTTTTTTTTATTTTCTTTAAAAACAAATTGGAAATGAAAAAGCCATTCATATGATTTAGAACTGTTATATAGTACACAGAAAATATTGGGTCTTTGTTACAAGAAGCATTCTGGAGCACGTTTCTGTAGATGATGTGTGTGTGTTTACAATTACCACTTTGATGGTAACTTTTATTTTATAAAAACTGAGAATTAGAAGAACATCTTTCTCTGTGAGGAGTCACAGATGCGTAAATGTATGTGTTTATGAGTATTTGCAGGGCTAAGCTTAAGATTTACACATACTAATATAACACCATTTACACTTTTTCTGAAAAGTAAATTGTTAGAGGGATTTGAAATGGGGTAAGTACCAAAAAAAGGGGGGGGGGGGGTATGTATATATGGTTGTGTGTGCTTGTATATCCAAGGGAGAGACAGATCTGAGGCCTTGTATGTAAAGTAGAGTTTGGGAACTGGAATACCTGGACACTTTCTGAAGGATGCTACCTTGATTTCTTAGGAAAGTCATCTCTTTCTGGACATAAGTTTTCCTATCAGTAAAATGCATGTTATTATGTTTACATCCTTTGGGGCATATTTTCAGTTTACAGATGGAAAGTGCTGTGTGAGATGTAGCTGTTATTATTTATTGATTTCCATCATAGTGAACAACTTTTTAAACTAGTAAAGCAAAAGCAGATATCCCTTGGTCTGGTTCAGTGATAAAGCTGCTGTGTGACTTTACAATTGCAAGCTCCTGACAATGTCAAACCAGAGTTTTTAATGAGATTCTGCTCTATTAGCTTGATCATACAATTGTTATTTGCTCCAAATCTGTCAGCATCAAACAGACTTGCCATTGCTTTGCCTCGAGTTTTGAGTTTTTTCTTTGTTCAAAAAGAAAGACTAGAACTTAAAATAAAAAGGGTACCATGTAACAATTGATTCTACTTGTATATATAGTATTGCTATAAATTAGATTATAAAATGTCTTTGGTGTTTTGGTTTGTCTTTTAATAAACTCATCACTTAACTCAGTGAAGATGGCTCCAGTGGGCTGAAATTAATAGAGATGTTTGGATTCAACCATGAAGGGAAAAAAAAATAATGCTGGTTAATTCCTACCTTATCTGTTCTCCAATTAACACATTTATCTCATTTGTTAAGTGGTTTCTTTAGGCAATAACAGGCCATTGTGTCTTAAGCAAAATGTAGTATGCTTAAGATGCCTTGAGAGATGTGTACATACTAAGAGTTTTGAATGGATAAACGTTATCATTTTGTTTCTATACAGAGAGCCTCGAAAAATCATCCTGCACAAGGGCTCCACAGGACTTGGTTTTAACATTGTGGGAGGAGAAGATGGGGAAGGCATTTTCGTGTCTTTCATCCTAGCAGGCGGGCCTGCCGATCTCAGCGGAGAACTGCAGCGAGGAGATCAAATTTTGTCTGTAAGTATTTGGGTTGGGCTTTGCTGACCAGCTGCGTAATCTTGTTCTTTGCCTATACTACAAGGGACACAAAAAGAAGTCTTTTTTGGTTTCCGTGTTGTGAATCCAAGCTGGAAACAGTTTATCACTGACTATTTTGTTTATTTGCTCTTGGTTTTTATAGCATTTGTTAAAGGTGTTACTTGCACTTAGCTCAGAATGAGACTTTTCTCTGCTTAATGCTGTCTACAGTATGGCAACGCTGCAGAGAGGACCTAAACACAGTGCAGACCTCAGCATCTCCCAGTTCAGGCCATCATCCAGTTCCATTTTGCCCAAAATGCACTACTGAGGCCAAAGATGTTTCTCAGTTTCAGTTTTTCTTTGCTGAGAAAAAGCAGCACGATGAAATCACCTAGACTGGGGGTGCCATCTAGTGTGCACTAAACTGCTTAGCAAATGGTCCAATACAAGAGGGAGATTAATTAGGTTATGTTAATTAGCTCTGTGCCTCTAATGAATTTGATGATCACTCAGAAATTCATTTTCAAATTTTAGAGGATAAAAGGCTTTGTAGCCTGAGGTTATATTTTGCATACTTAGTCTCAAAAACATCTTTTTAATTTTTCTTTCATGTATATACTGATAGCACACAGTTAAAAAACAGAGCATTTATGTTTTAAGCTCTGTCAAGTAATTGAGCATCTGACTGAAACAATCCGAATGTAAAGCGCTTTGAATGACAATGAAAGCCTTGAAAATGTAGTTAAATATCCATTTACATTATACCGCCTTACAGAAAAAAGAAACTATCCCGAATTGATACAGTTGTGGCTGTTTCATGCAAAGTACATAAATAGCCCTAAGGCAAAGAGCTGAAACACAGGAATTATTCATCCCAGATGAGTGATGGACCCACTAGGCTGCAGTGTCACACTCACTCCTGCTGTTGTGCTTTCTGTCCCTGCAAATCTTGTATCTTTGGCTGCGCTTTGGTTAGTGTCGGGGTAGAAGATGGCTTTAGCCTGGACCATTTGTGGCACGGTTACGCGGCACTTTCCTGATCAATGTTTAAATCCCTTCATGAGGAAGCTGGAGCAGCTTTTCCAACATTGCTTAGGAGTTTCTTGGCCACTGGCCTATTCTACGAAAAGTGAATTTACCTTCCACCTGTCAAAGTTTTGGTGTGAAAAGGTGGCTGGGGCTGTTTTGTGATATATGGAAAATCTGGCTTGTTAACACCAAAGGGAGGCAGTAACCTGAAGCTGTGAGGACCGTAATAGTCTATTTTATCTAGACCTGTTCCTTGAAAATGGTTTAAAAAAAATTGAGAGAGGGCAAGTAAAAGATGTTTAGCTGCACTAGAGACATCCCCAAGTAGAAGGGTTTTAGGAAACTGTAAGAAAACCAGAAGAGACTCTTATAAGGTTATCAACATGAAGAGATAAGGAGGGAAAATGCCTGTGCCAAGAAAAACACAGACGAGAAACCTGAAGAACAGAAATGGAAATTTCTTAAGGACAATTATGCAATTTATTTTTCTTTGGCTAGATGCAGCAAAATAAATCTGACTGAAAGAGCACTATGAGATCAAAGCCTTTCACGGTACATAGTATTCAGGAATCCAGCATCTCAGATACAAATTTAAAAGTCTGTTTTCCTTTATTTTTAAGCAGGTGTATATTTAGCACTGTAGGATACTGCCACAGTTGAATTTTTAAATCAGATTTTTGTCTGTTTTATAGCAGTGTTTTCCATAAGTTCTAATTAAAGTTACCAGTGTTGCTGCAGCATTCAGTTGTCATGCAAGAGTAGTTTATTTGTTCATTGAGCAGAGAGGGATGGAAATTATTACTAAATTAGACTGCATGCATATCCCCAGGCAATCACCAAGTCAGGCGCTTCTGACTTATTTAGTCACAAATGACTATTAAGAATCCATTTTTCCATAGTCAAATGAAACAAATTTCATGCACAGGCTACTTCTAGACCTGATTAATTTTAGACCGTTGTCTGGTGAAGGGTCCCAGACACCTTAACTTTATAAGGGCTGCGCAAAGTAGGTCTCTTTCTCTCTGTTTATTCTTTCTTGTCTCATCCCTCAGAAACACTTATTTCCCTACAGAAATAGTTTTCCCATTTGTTTCTCAAAACATGACAAATCTGATTTACCAAGAACAAATAGTACCCTCAAAGGTAGTATTTCTAATTAACTCAGGCTTGGTTAAATTTCTTTCAGACAGGAAGCATGGTAAGTGATTTAAACTTTGGAGATCTGGACTTAATTCTCTGATTTTGCTGTTGTCCTTCTATGTGACCTTAGGCAAGATGCTTTATTTTTTTAAGCCTCGATCTCCTGTGTGGAAGAGGGGGATCACAGCACTTTCCCAATTCATGCCTGTGCTGTGAATACGGCAAAGTGTTGACTGGTTGAGAGATGTGTATGCTCACCTTTGGGAAGGTACCTACAAAAATACCTTAAAGAGACTGCAAATCCATGCGTGAGACCCAACAAAGCTAGGAATATGCATTAACTTTGGGTGACACACTGGATGTATCCATAGTCCCAGAGTCAGCCCACAAGGCTTGGACAAATCCCCTAACCTCTCTGCCTCTCTTTCTGCCTAATTTCTGTTCACAGAACAGAACAGGGAAGGGTCCAAGCCTACAGCCCTCAAGGGGCTGGCTCTATGCTAGGATATGCAGCAGCAGTTGAGTTTATTTTTCCCAAATGCCACCAGATGGCAGCGCAGGATGAGTAATGACAGAGATCTGCCCTTGGAAACTGGCTAAAAGCTTTGGAAAAGCAGTGATAGACTTCTTTTTCTGTTTTCAGTTAATTGACTGGAAATGTTTAAAACTTACTTCGGAAAGCAGGCTGATATTCCCAATGCTTCTGTGTAGAGAGACAAAATGAATACTATCTGAACCCTGAAGGCAAATTGAAGAATAATGGATAATGTTATGTTTCAAATGGTAAAATATTTCAAATAGCAAAAAAAACCCAAATTATAGTGTTACTCATGATAAGCTATTTTTTTCCCCCTAAACGGTAGGATTTTTTTTAATGTTGGTTTCTTCTTGCTATAATTCATTACTCCTTTGTGAATTACCACCAAACTAAACATTTTCCTTCTCACTTCTGAATGTCTTTAAAATGTAGTAATGCATACCATCACCAGCGTACATTCATCACTATAAGAGAATATAACCCTCCCTGTAGTATTGCCCTCTTATTAAGTATAATGTAAATATTATCAGGTAGCATTTTGAGTACTAATTGACATCATGACTTGATTTGCAAAGTGCTATGTACATACAGATTAACTTCTGTCACAGATGTGTATAACCCAAATGAAACAGCTCAGAATATCAATGGGAAGTATTATTTCAATTTTAGAGCAGTAGAAATGAGGTGCCATTATGTTAACTGAATTGTTTAAAATCATGTGAGAAGTCTGGGCCAAGTCCAGACTTAGAGGCTGCTTGAACTCTGATTTAACCCCAAGTTCTCCATCTGTTAGGAAAATGCAGTCTCCAATAAAAATAAAATGTAATGTTCCTTGATGCCATTCTTGCAGTTTAAAATTCCACTTCCAATGCTAAGGGATATATTGCCTATTAAAACAGCAATGGGAACCCAGTGTTGTTTAGTTAAAATCACCTGCATGAGAAAAAAATTATTTCCAAGAGCCATATACATAAAATGGCCACACATTGTGCATACATCCTTGCTGACAGAAAGCAGTATAAATCTTATAATTTTAGGAAAGAGGTACATACTGAATACATTGTCATTTTTAGGGGAAATTCCTGGGAAGGCAGGTGGAAGAATATGGTCCTATTCAAACAAAAATTGCCACATCTTTTTTTGCCTTACAATCTCAAATCAAAATTACGACAAAACATACCTAGTTATTTTAGGTGTCTTAACCTGCATGCTTCAAAGCATGACAGTGCTTTGACAGTGCCAGGTGGGCAACTTTATCTATAGGTACAGTACCTAAAGCACAGAGAGTTAGTTTACATATGCAAGTTCAGCAGCAAAATTCAGATTTACAATTTACACACAAATAATTAGTGCATATTGCTCCTTGAATTCTTATGATGACATTGTTTTTCAAACAGTTTTATAATTTTCCACAAGACTGCATCAAGTTAAAAATGTATGTAAGGGGAGAATTAAGGTGATTTAATAGCCATAAGGAGGTAACAGCAAGTATTAGCATTTGAATCTTAACCTTTGAAATTACTGAATTTTCTGTCTTTGGACAAGACTAAAACCCAGAGAAGATACTTAAATTTAGACATCTACATGCTTGCTGGGTGTCTGCTTGCCATTAAAGTCAATGGAGGCTAGAGGATTCAGCTGGCCAACTATGAATTGTGTAGAGTGAGTTGAATTGCTCTGTGGGCTTTATTGCCTGTATTGATCGGGTATCCATTGACTTTAAGCTTAAACACTTACCACATGCGTGTGTGTCTGTATTTTGGGTGTCTTAAACTGAATCTCACATTTCATGTGTGTTGCCCTTATAATACATGTTTGCTTTTCAGCTACCATCGTGCTTGCTTCATCACAAAGAAAAATAAAATAAAATCATGGACCATAAAAGCAGTACCAGTTTTATTTCATCCTCCTGTAGAAATGCTTTAGTACTTTGTGGTTCACAACAGCAGGATGAAGCGTGGCTGGTAGCCTGAAAGTAGAATCAAGAGAAAGAGGAGACTGCTTGCTCTGGAGCAAGATTGCTGCTCCCAAGCAATGCATCCCACAGGTTACCTTAAGGAAATAAAACAAGTTTCCTGAAGGGTAATTGCTCAACAGCAAGAGGAAAAAGAGTAGAAAAAGAACAGGCTGCACAGTGAAGATGCAGGTAGTACTCATTAATGCTTCCGTTTTCTCTCCCATCTAACCTGAATCAGATGAATGAAGTTAAGCAAATTCTGTATGATTTTCTTCTTCATCTAGCATAGTACCAGGATCTATTTGTATATGGGGAAAGACAGTATCTTTTTTC